ATTTCTTTGTTTCGAATTCTAACCAATAGCCTTCTTCTCCATTGACCGGTCTTGTAGACTTTCGATGTTATCCAGCGGTCAGCTGGTCTACAGATCAGAAAATTTTAGACAATACAATATAGAATATACATGACTCCATTTTTATCTTAATTATAATAATTTGCATATAATGTGTAGAAAATTTGTATTATATGTTCATTTAACCAACAATATATTTTAATTATCTATGTCCTCAAAGAATTTTATTATATTGATGGTAAATTTCGTTTTGTTCCGTTGCAAAAGGTCTCCAAAATGTCATGTTGTAATAATATTAGTAAACAATATGTTCCTTTTATTTCTCCCTTTCGCAATTGTAATATGAATGATTAATAGAAGGTGCCTGATAAATTAAAATTACCTGAATCTCGCCAAATTCCGAACTGCTGCACTGCACTGCTAGGCCATTTGTTGACAACTGAATTTATGGCCAGGTCACCCTGTGCGGTTGTGTTTGTGCCACGTTTGTCCACGTACGCATTCTTCAGCTGGGCGACCTCTATATGGGTAAGCTAAATAAATATGAGAACAAGTTTTTCAAATATTTCAATACCGAGTTGCTGCGTTAGCGACTAAACCTGGTACATATTGCCAACCTCTTGGTTCTTCAATTGAGATCGGAAAGACTATACTTCATTCGTACATTTGCTGACAAGCTCTTTCTTTCTTCCGTCCAAGTTTTTTTAATGCAACTTCACAATTGTAAATACTCAATTTTGATCGGGATATACCAGTCGTTGTATCTTCATCTAATTTTTGGTGAATTGAAAATTTATTTAGGAATAAACTTTATTTGCATTTAGAATATTATTGAAATCTAATTCAAACATCTGGATTATGACTTAACAAGAACAATAACATTGACGTTATAGGTATTACGTTTTTATAGCATTAAAAGATAATGATGATTGATGACACTGACAATGAATGCATTTTGCGACATTTTTATAAGTTTTTAGTTACTATTATGTCAAAAATTAATTATTTTAACTTTATACAAACATTCAGTTGTCAGTTACTCCAGATTCATTCGTAAAATTTGACTAACCCTTAGGATGTACATTGTCAAACTATTTATATTATTACTGATTTTAGAAAAATGCCCTTAATGCAGATAATATAGAAAATATATAAGTAAATGTTTTACAATGAATTTAAATGTATAAATTAACTACGTGCATGATTTCTTATTAAAGCTAACTGGCTATAAATAAACTCATAATCCTAAGTTATATTTTAGAGTTAAGTCATTATTTTTATCAAAGGAATATTATAATCCCATAGATTTGATATTATCTGTTAAAATTTTATGGGGTGACCTAACGGTTAGTGGATTCTTAAACATTCAGTTGTGGAGAACTCGCCTAAGATAATCAAAAAGAAAGTTTAGTGGAAGTATTTCCAGATGTAGGTAAACTTAATTTTGCGTTTTGGGTAATGGATAAAGTAGTGTATTTAACTTGCTTGTAAAATAATTCCTGAACTTTTTCTTTAGAGGCGTTAAGATATTTAAAGTAATTTTAAAAATTTTAAATGTGTAATATCGAAATTTTGCGTAACAAAAAACAGTTTTTAAAAATGCGCTATATTTATCTGTCTCGGAAGCAGTTATAATAACAACATCTGTTCATTTATTTTGGTTCAGCCTTTTTTTGACATCTATGAATGTATTAACAACAAAATAATTTAAAGGTAAACGTAGAAGACTCCTCTGAATATGTTCAGTTTATTAATATCGTTGGAATGTTGTGTATAAATTAACTTTATTTAGACCCCATTTATAAATACGTGTTCCTAAACTTTTGTGTTTTTTAACATCTGCCTTAGCTTTATTTATATCGGTGAATTTGGCGTAGCTATTTTAATGGACGCTCATATAACACTAAATGGAAATATTCTAAACATAATTATTGTATCTAAATGAAATACTTGCAATATGAGGTATCACTTTTATTTATTATAAGGGATAGCCATTATTTGATCGATTTTATTGTTATGACTAATGAGATTCTTTAATGTCATAATAACAATTTATTTCTATTTTTAGCTACAGTTTCAAATTTTTGTTGAATTCTATGAGGAGCAGAAAATTTAAAATCTTACTGTCAAAAATAATTGATTACATATTTTTTTACGTGAAATAACAGTTTATTATTGATGACAAATTATAATTTACAATAGATCAATTAAACTAAATCCTTCATCCAAACATTGTATGAGCTATTACACAAAATGCTATTATTAGTTAGTTTATTTTTATTAAACTGGAGCTTAACAGACAATAATTTACAATTTTTTGGAATGTACGATATTTAAAAATATCATGGGTTGAAAATTAACTTTTCAGAATGAGTTTGATATGAGGTGTTATTATTCTGAAACATATTTGTATATAACATAATTAGTGTTCAAATAGTTTTATGCCATTTATTACATATAATGCGACGAAATATCGCAGATATGTACAGGGTGTGTCAATGAAAATCTCTGATTTGGAATATGAAGTGAACTATCGATTAAAAAATAGAAAGTATTAACTTTGATATATATATTCTGAAGTTGATGTTTATTAAGTTTATTTTTCCCAAATTATTGACGTTAAACACGGCAAGTTTTCTTGTTTCACCGTTTTATTCAATTTCAATCCGCTCTTTTCTTTGGGACACTCACAATAATGTACAATTTTTTACTTACCCACACGGTGTATTCAATCAAGCTGAGAACTTGAGAATTTTTAAAACTGTGTTAATTTTTCTCCTATTTATTTTTAGGGCCATGGCATTTATGAAAACTTACACGAGTTTTATTTTACGTTTTGTAGTAAATCATGGAAAGTATACAAAACGGTTGATTGTTTATGTTGGCGCACATAAATAATATTTAACGGTTTAAATTGTTTTCATATCCTCAATAATCAGGGGTCAGGGATTAAACGCTGCCAAGCAGGTTGAAATTAAGTATCCTTTAACTGAATTTGGTCAGTGACATCAGGGGGGATGCTGGAATATGTCACGACTGGTACTTTGCAAAACAAATAGTTTACTCGTTGCATTTTTTGATAAGGAAAATATCAGATTATCTAATTAACTAAGAAGCGGTAAGCGGTAATTAAACAAAGGAGGCCAGTTTTATTATTACGGTGGTGAGATCACTTGCGGTATCCGCATGATAATTATTAGCTTTACATTAAGGCGCCTTTCCACTCGAGATTTAGCGGGCTTACTCATACATAAATCAATTCGTTTGGTAGGAAGATAAGGCTTGAAGTTGGCGCAAGTTGCCGCTAAATAATAAGAGCTGGATTTATAAGCGAGTATGCGAGCATTTGAAGGCGCCTTTAGGTATTTACACACAGAGAAAGAATGCGAATGCGAATAGGTGCCAAAATTAGGTGCTAAAATTTCTATCTAACAACGGTATACAGGTTGATTCAGAACTTATCCAAAAAGAAATTTTTGAATGTATATGGGATTCTTACAAATACAATTTAAAAAAAAAATCAAAAAGGGCAGTTCGAAAATGACTTAAATTCACTGGAATCTGGTCCACTGTAAAACCTAACCTTACTCAAGACAAAGCATGCAGTCGAAGACCGGCAGGACGGCAAAGTGTAATAAAAAATGATTGAAAAAATTGAAAGAATTTGAATGACACAAATGCTTCACCATAACACAAATGTTGTCTTACTTCACCATATATTAAAACGATATTCATCAACTCCGAGTTGCTATACACAAAGCCATTTTCGACACTTGGAAAACTAATATAAACACTATCACAAAAATGTTAATACTAAAATCGGATATCAGTATTCGGAATCGCCTGATTAATAAACTAGTGTGCTTTATTTATACCTACTTGCAATTTTCGCATCAAAATGTTAAAGCTGCGTTTTTTGAAAAGCACTTAATATTCATAGCACTAAGATTTCAGGCATATTTCCTCATATTTTGTGGACATTTCAACAACTTTTCCAAGAAAAACATGTTTTTATTAATACTATTTTTTTTTCTTTAGCCACCTTTATTTTAGCAATACCCATTAGTTAATTAAACTAAATTATAAACTCTATATCTTTATGAATATTTAAATTGTAACCAAGTCCCAAGTAACCAAGTCTGATGGCATGATTCATGTTTAGTCACATTTTTGATAAATGTAGACAGCGCGTACATATTAAAATAAACAGAGACTAATCAACAAAGCGTCCATATATTATGCTGCACTTGTGTAATATTTCGCATAGTACTATTTATTCAGAGAAAAAAATATTTATTGATAACAGGATTACTGATCTCGCAGATAAAAAATTATCAAACATCAAATATAACTTTTACATGACGCAGAATTTGTAATTCAAGAATTTAATTCATGTAAGACTAATTTATTAAGGAGGAGATATAAGATGAGTAATTTTTAAATTATATTTTCGAAAAAAATCTAAATATAGGCGGCGTAGTAATATTTCACAGTGTGTAGACCAGTTTTTCGTACGGCAAAAGCAGTTTATGTGATTATTATAGATAAATAATGTAAACATTCATTAATAATTAGATTATCGCTAACCCCCCACTCCCCTGTTCAATTTAAGTTGATGATAAATTGCGGAACCGTTAATTGAAAATATCAATTTGTATCTTGAACTGAAAATAATAACTTATTTGCCGGTACCGCACCGGGAAATAAAAAACCAAATCAATTTTTTCATAAATTTGAATTACTAAGACTGATACAAGTAGTATTATTAGGTAAGTGGATCTAAATAAGAAGCTATAGGTGACATAAGATTTATTTGTTTATTATACCAGTGGTATAATGTAATAAAATAATTATAACCTAGATTACATTTATTTAAAACATTAATAAACAGATGTATACATTTTTAATATGAAATATTATGAAACAGTAACATCTCTGTAACTATTACTGTTTTTTTATCTCGTATTATATGTTTGTTGCAGATTTAGATAATCGAAGATGGTACTCAAAGTGGAGAAATCTTGCGAAGAAACAAAACCGATTTTGAGTTTCAACGACTCTGATGCTAAAAGCGAACCAGATCTGAAAATTGGAGATGCATACAGGCACATCACAAAGTAAGGCTATACATTTTTGTTAATTAGGTACTTCTTATTTCAAAATATTTCAAAATGTTTCAAAATATTTCGGTGTATATGGTTAAGGAAAACTGTTGTAAACTAAATAGCGATTTTTTTTAACATGCAAATTATAATATGGTCGAATGCAATGGTTTGAAAAAATTTATATGTAACTACATACAAATGCAGAAATTTTCTTTAACTTTTGATTCATGTTATTTGGTATTTTTTAATTGCAAGAAAAGTTTGATGTTTTTTTTTAAATACACAGTATTCCTTAAAAATTATTTACATAAAATTTACATAAATTTGTGGTAATTAATTTGTTTTAAAATGAATAACTCAAGCAACTTTTTAAGCAATTTTAAACAATTGACTACTTCATTTCATTGTTCCAAAAAAAAAGGTTAATTTGCGACATAGCTATTGTTTCAGATATACATATAAGGAAATATTGTATTATTTTAATGAAATATCCTATATTCTATCACTGTAATTGTAGGAAACCCTGCATCCAAACAAGTAAACAGTAAACAGGACGTTAATTAAAAGAATAGGTTTTCTTTACGATAATGTAATTAATATTACTGAATATTACCCATACTTTTAAAAATAGTGTCCTTGAGGCATTTAATTTTGTTTGCATTTTAATATATTTTAATATATACGAAAAAAGTTATAATATATCACAAATTGACCTTTTCTATTGAGATCACTTTGTGAAGTAATACGTCTGTATAAATTAAAAATTAAAAATACAAAAATAGATTGGTGTTATTTATACAAAATAATCCTTGCGTTTTTTTTTAAATTTTATTATAATTTTGCAATTCACATCGAAAAAAAAAATTTATTGTATACAGGGTAGGCCATTAATGTGAGAAAGTAAAATAACTTGTTACTCATAATACCTACAGAAAAAAAGTTTATATATAAGTTATACAGAATCAAGAAACCTAAACTACAAAATTAATTTGATAAGATGATGAGTAAAAACGAGACACGCCAAATATTACATTTTTTAAATGGATCACCCTTTATATTTTTAAATATATATGGATTTCCGAGAAAATTCTATATATGGCAGTATAAACAGTTTAACATTTTAGTGCGGGGTTGCCAAGTCATGTAGAAAATGCTTCGAATTTTGGAAAAAACATGACATCGAAGACGTTGTATTAACTTTCAACTACTAAAACTTGGAGCAAAAATATTTAATAGAGTTATAGGCAAATGTTAGATAAAGACTCTTATATTAGCTAATATCGATATTTTATATAGGGCATTTTTTATAATACGATCATTTTTAGAAAGTTTAAACTTGATTTTCTAAAATTTTTTAAATGGAACACCCTGTATTTTATTATTCTATTTTATTCACAATAATTCACATATTGGCCCACTTCAACTTTTATCAAGCATATTCTATATTTAAAATTGTTAGTTTTTAAGATATAGCAATATTTCTGAAAAAACTTAATTTTTATTATTTTATAGAAACGACAAATAAATATTAACTAATAAAATTAACTCAAAATGGAATGATAAATTATGAACTGACAAGTTGACACATTGTGACAGTTTTTTCCAAAGCCATTTCGTGCGATCGAAAATAATAAAAATTAGGTTTTTCCAGAAATGTTGCTATATCTTAAAAACTAACACTTTAGGTTAGAACATATTTAATAAAAGTTGAAATGGACTGATATGTGAATAAAATAAAACAATAAAATACAGGGTGTTCCATTTGAAAAATTTTAGAAAATCAAGTTTGAATTTTCTTAAAATGACCGTATTATAAAAAATGCTTTGTATCAAATATCGATATTAGCTGATATAGGAATCTTTGCCTAACATTTGCCTATAACTCTGTCAAATATTTTTGCTCCAAGCGTTAGTAGTTGAAAGTTAATACAACTTCTTCGAGGTCATGTTTTTCCAAAATTCGAAAAATTTTCCACAGAACTTGGCAACCCCGCACTAAACTGTTAAACTGTTTGTATTGCCATATATAGAATTTTCTCGGAAATCCATATGTTTAAAAATATACAGGGTGTTCCATTTAAAAAATGTAATATTTGGTGTGTTCCGTTTTCACTCATCACCCTGTATGTATAAAATTAATTAATGGTCCACCCTGTATATACTTGTTCCTACGTTCTTCTCTTTTGTATCTCTTGATGGTATTCGTAGAAATGATTAACCTAAGTAGGCACTATTTTCAATTGTACAATTTTTTTACAGTTCCTTTATTTCAATAATTTTTTAAAAAATTTTTCACGGATGTCAAAATATGTACCCAAATAAATAGACAACAACAAAGTATGCGACAAAATAAGTAACTTTAGAAAATATCTTAACAATGCAGTTATTCTCATCTGTTTGTTTTACTTTTGGATATCAAATTTGAAATTAAAAGTTATTAAAAGAGTTCCATTCAAAAAAGCTGCTTGAATTATAAAATTGTCTATTTACAACACTTAAGTGAAGTGATGGAAGGAAAAAGAAAAAAGGTACATAATATTATTGTCTACAATATGGGACAAATTCGACTGAAAGATAAAACTTGTCATGCTTAAGATACTTCGTCCAAACTAGGTTTCACTTTTTCTTTACTCATATGTAGATAGGTACAACTGTTTCATTTTAAAACTAACATTTTGTTTTTGTTCAATATAAGCTAGACATTGCATTCAAGGTTAGTTTTTATTTAAAATTAGTCCCGTCTATAATTCCTTTAAACATCTAGTGTTTTGTCCACCCTCCAACAAAATGCATTAAAGTGTCAAAAATCAATATAAACTTAATATTGCAAGTCCTTCTGCATCTGCCAATGGATTTTTTGATGGCCTAACTTTGGCCTTTGGTGTGTCACTTTTGCAATGTAAATTTAGTAATGAAAATTTATGATAGTATGTTCGTCAAAACGTGGTAAAAGTGTGATTTCAATTTTCAGTTCCTCTTCTAGTTCTGTGTTCATTTCAGGTCAATGAGAGACGACCCACTCAAGATAGAAAAACCGGAGTTGGTCCTTGAGCTGTTCTCAACGGCTATTAAAATGCAGGACATACCTCTAGCGAAAGAATGTACCGAAATTCTCAACAGCCAACTCGACAAGAACAACGCCTTGCTCGTACTGCGCCACATCTACAAAAGCGAGATGATGATGCCGCCGCCTCCAGATCCCCTGGATCTGAAACCCTCGGCGCCGCCCCTCCACGAAGACGACAACGATTTTAAGGAAGACTGGGTGCAGGATCTCAGGGACAACCTACGGAACAACTGCCTGCTGGAGATTGATAAGAACGCGGACTACGTCCTCAAGCAGAAGGAGGTCTTGGAGTTGTCCTATCGGGATGTCCTCGCCATCACCACCAGAGACACGCTCCAGGTGTCGAATGAGATGCTGGTGTATAGCGTTGCGATGAGGTGGACTATGGAGGAGTGTAAGCGGCTTGCAATGGACCCGCAACAGAATAATATGAAGGCTATAGCAAGGGAACTCGTTCATGCTCCAAGGTAAATTGTACTTCTAGATGTTTCATAATTTATTTTTAAGAAAAGGTTAACACTTTTCCAAGCGTTCTTTCCCGTAACAAAATGAAGACATTTGTCTCTACATTTGGTACTCTACCTTCTCGTTATTATGTTATCCTGATAGCATGTCCCTCATTGTTCGTTCGTGGCTAGGAACAAGAAGGAACAAAGCGCTGTTCCCAGTCAATGGGAAAAACTCACTGTTGCATATTTTCGTGGTAGTGTCCAATATACCATCTACATATTTCATTGTAAGGTGTCTTGCGACTTATGTACCTCGATCAACTTATACTATCTATTCATGGTGATCCGAATTGCATAGGTCAAACTTTAACTGGTGATAGAAATCTCTCTGTGATATTTTTTATTCAATTAAGAGCAGAATTTTGGGCTTTTTACATAAAAGACATATCTTGCGTTAATTGCTTCCCAATAAAAATATTATAATAAAACGTTGTTTTCTTCATATACAGGGTGGGCCATTAGTCCGAGAAAGTAAAACAACTCTCTTGTTATTCCTAATACAGAAAAAAAAGTTTATAGAAAAGTTGTACAGAGTCAAAAAATCTAGAGGAAAAAAACAAATATTACATTTTTTAAATGGAACAACCTGTATATTTTTAGAGATATGGATTTCTGAGAAAATTCTATATATGGCAATATAAACAGTTTAACATTTTAGTGCGGGGTTGCCAGGTTATGTAAAAAATTCTTCGAATTTTTGAAATAACATGACTTCGAAGAACTTGTATTAACTTTCAACTACTAACACTTGGAGCAAAAATATTTGACACAGTTATAGGCAAATGTTAGGCAAAGACTCCTATATTAGCTAATATTGATATTTTATACAGGGCATTTTTATATAACGATCATTTTAAGAAAGTTCAAACTTGATTTTCTAAAATTTTTCAAATGGAACACCCTGTATTTTATTGTTCTATTTTATTCACATGTCGGTCCACTTCACCTTTTATTAAACTCAAATATATTTCACTATTCCATTATTGGATCTTCATATATTGAGTTAATAGTTGAAACATACGAAAAATGTGAGAAAATCTGTCAAGTTTACAATTGAGACTTTCTTGTCGGAATAATAAATTTTGAAATGTAATAACGTTTCCTTAAATGGAACTGACGTATCTGAAAAAATTCACAAGGCATTGCGAAAATATAAAGTGTATGAAAAGATGTTTAAGGAAAGTTCTTAGAACGATTATGATTTCAAGTGAGTTGTAAAGTACACAGTAATAATAGTATTGATAACTGCAAGGTTGTATGCTGATAAAAATAAAAAAGCAATTTTCATAATAATAAAATAGGCGCGGCTATCAAAACTGATAGAAAATCATTTTGTATAATAAATTCATATCAACAATTGATACACATTCTTGGAATAAATCAATAGACACTCATATTTTTATTATTTCTTGTGTTTAAACTTATTATATTTAATATACGTATTAGTACAAGAGATATCTAAATATCTTAGGATATTTTTATAAATTCCTTCCTTTATACAAGTATACAAGTATGATGTGTGTCTTTTAATTCGATCGCAAAATATCAGTAGTAAATTCGGTACTCTCTTATTCAGTATATCGAAAAAGTGAATTACGTGATGTGGAAATCATTTTTATAGTCACCTTGATAAAGAAATGATAGTAGTATAAAAGAGTGATGGTAACTTAATTTTTGCTTTTGATAAATTTTGTTAAAAAACGTAGTTTTCGAGTAAAATTAAAAAACGAAATCATGTCATTTAACTATTATTACCAAACAAAACTGTAATGATCATTGTAACGTACAAATATATTCGTATGTTTTTAAAAGTAAATACGATTATTTAAAGGTAAGTATCTACATACTCATATAACAAAATAAACGAAAAAAAATGTAGAAAACCAATATTTCTTGTACTATAGACTACGACTACATATTTAATACAAACTAATTTTTCTACAATATATTAAATAGCATTCTTTCAGAATTAACAATTTTTCCAAATGCTACTACTCTTTCATGCTACATGGTTTGCATTTTCTAGAGACAAAAAGTTGACATTATCAAGGTGGCTTTGTCATCATTTATAAATATAAATAACAAATACGTGTACCAAATTTGGTACTCATATTGCAACTGGTTCAGAGGTTATTAAACAATGTGATTGTCAATAGACCACCTTAAAATTACTATACCTGTATTTTTGTTTTAATTTTTAAAGAAACACCCTGTAGAAGTTTGATAGTCGAATTAAAGGACACCGTGTATATGCATAACGATTAGAGCAGGAAGTGCTAAATATTTATCACACTGACCGGGGATTATACATATTGTTTAATTTTCATTGGGTAGTCTGACAGAAGAATACAAGTTTTAATGTCAAATAAACATGGATTAATTTGGGCTTGATTAGGTATAATGTTAGGGTATTATGCATAATAACTAAGTAATCCTACTATCCCTATCTAACACTCGTAGATGCATGTCACTGTTGTCATATAATTTAGTCATTGTGATGGGTGACAGTAAAGAATTGTATTAATATTATTGTTAAACTAAAACAAATAATGTCACTCTGCTTCAGTTCTCAATCATTACATGGTGAAATAATCATTTCAAATATATGTATTATCACTGATTGAGCACTGTAAGCAACATTTTACTATTTGTGCTTCAGGAAAAAATCGTATTACTTCAATTTGGAACACGACTGTTGATACCTAATTGCAACATTTTATGTCCATAGAATAATCATATCGGATCGTTTGTACAGGGTGGGCAAATAAGCGAGGTAAGCGGCTGTATCTCAGAAACTAGTGATCGTAGAGAGCTACGGTAAAAAAATTTATAGGTAAAGTGGGCAAGGGAAAATGCTGGAAATTATTTTCAAGTTTCCAAGATGGCCGCCAGTGGGCGTTTCCACCATATTGAATTACATAAAGTTACGTTTCTCACGATTTTCCCCAATGAATGTAACAAAAAAGTATTTGCGTTTTAATGTTAACTTAAAGTCGAACATTTTTTGTAAAAACAATTTTTCTCTATCTTTCGAAATAAAGTGGTGGGGGGTATTTGAATGTTGTTTGAAATAAATGCCTGTAACTTCGAAACGGCTTAATGGATTTGGATAAATTTGGTATCATTGAAAAGAGCATTTCTTGGGCTTTTAGGTTTCTCGTAATCATGACAGTTGCGACCTACACGGCCGCCGATAGAGGGCGTTATTCGATATTATAACCAAAATATTGGATTTTCTCAAAAAATTTAAATGCGATGATATGACTTTTTTTAGACTAGAAAATAGACAAATGACCAACCAATAAGCCTGCGCAAACCGCATCTTAATATCTTTTTCCTAACTCAAATTATTAAAAAAAAAAACTAAACCAGGAAAATTCATATATCCCCATTTAAAAATGCATCGGTTGCTTTCGATAAGAAGGCAAGTAGTAGGCCATGGACATAAAAGACAAACTCCTCTCTAAAATATTCACAAGAAATGTCAGTTTATTTAGTGCTGTGATTTTAAGTCGCACGTTTTCGTATTTATAAGCGATTTTCCTTTTAAATAAAGTTGTGGTCCTGAAAAGGACCGATTTTGAAAAAAGATTAATGCCTTCTGTGTTCAAATTGCCTTCCGTCATATTCCACACATTGTTCCAGTCTTTCTTGAGTCGACAGAACCGCAGCCTCGATTTCTACCGCTGATAGTTGACGAATTGAGTTTCGAATTCTGTTTTCCATATCCATTCGTGTTGTTGGTGGAGTTTGAAAAACAATGTCTTTTAAGCGTCCCCACAAGTAAAAATCAAGACATGTCAAGTCCGGAGATCTTGCCGGCCAAGGAAATAGGCTTCCCCTTCCTATCCAGCGTTCTCGAAAGGTCCCGTTAATATGGTTTCGGACATTAATTGAATAATGTGCCGGACAACCATCTAATTGCAGAAACATAGTTCTCCTAGTTTCGAGTGGCACATCTTCCAACAAAATTGGCAAGTCGTTGATCAAAAACTCTAAGAAGCGGTTACCAGTTAAAGCTTGATCAAAAAAATAAGGTCCAATAATTCTGTCCCCAATGATACCGCACCACACATTTAGGCTCCAGCGTCCCTGGTGCTGCACTTCTCTTAACCAATGCGGATTTTCAGCGGACCAATAATGCATATTATGACGGTTTACTCTACCATCACTACTAAAGGTAGCCTCGTCGGTCCAGAGAATTTCCGTTAAGAAATTTCTGTTTTCCTCAAGCATGCCTAGCATCCATTGACAATAATTTAATCTATTATCGAAATCTTGTTCATTTAGCGCCTGGTGCAAAACTATGTGGTAAGGATGTAATCTAAAAGTAAAAAACAACATATGCGTAAAAATAATATAATCAGAATAACACTGAATTGTGTATTTGAGAGTATGTGCTAAGATACTTGGAATAAGATAAAATTATTTACCTATAATCTTTCAAAATATTTCTAACAGTTGTTCGTGCTATTCCCAAGTCTAGAGACAATGTTCTAGTTCCTACATGTCTATCAAATTCTATGTAAGCCAAGACATTGATAATGTTTTCTTCGGTCCTTCCATTGCGACGCCTGCGACGTTTAGGACGACGAAAACTTCCAGTATCGCGTAATCGCTGTACCAAGCGCGGAAACATTCTTCTCCCGTAATGACGGCGATCTGGATACCGTGCCGCGTACTGTCTTGCAGCTATAGCTGCATTTTGAAAACACTCGAAATAAATCGCAATCATGTCAACGGCTTCATTATTTGTGAGAGGCATTTTGATTAAAAAGTACTCAAATTATACGCAATCAACAATATTAGGCTGCGTGTGACAAAAGTTTGACGTTACTTGGCAATATTTTTGTTAGGCGATTGTCGTGTCCATGGCCTACTACTTGCCTTCTTATCGAAAGCAACCGATGCATTTTTAAATGGGGATATATGAATTTTCCTGGTTTAGTATTTTTTTTAATAATTTGAGTTAGGAAAAAGATATTAAGATGCGGTTTGCGCAGGCTTATTGGTTGGTCATTTGTCTATTTTCTAGTCTAAAAAAAGTCATATCATCGCATTTAAATTTTTTGAGAAAATCCAATATTTTGGTTATAATATCGAATAACGCCCTCTATCGGCGGCCGTGTAGGTCGCAACTGTCATGATTACGAGAAACCTAAAAGCCCAAGAAATGCTCTTTTCAATGATACCAAATTTATCCAAATCCATTAAGCCGTTTCGAAGTTACAGGCATTTATTTAAAACAACATTCAAATACCCCCCACCACTTTATTTCGAAAGATAGAGAAAAATTGTTTTTACAAAAAATGTTCGACTTTAAGTTAACATTAAAACGCAAATACTTTTTTGTTACATTCATTGGGGAAAATCGTGAGAAACGTAACTTTATGTAATTCAATATGGTGGAAACGCCCACTGGCGGCCATCTTGGAAACTTGAAAATAATTTCCAGCATTTTCCCTTGCCCACTTTACCTATAAAATTTTTTACCGTAGCTCTCTACGATCACTAGTTTCTGAGATACAGCCGCTTACTTCGCTTATTTGCCCACCCTGTACATATCCCGATTACACTTTCAAAATATTGTAAATCTTAAACTATTACCGTAGTACGGAAAAAATCATGTTAAAAGCTAATCCAGAGGTCTTCAATTCATATATATATATATATATATATCAATTCATATTCACGTTTTCTTAAATTTCAGGTACGGCCTTCTGTCCAAAAAAGAATTCTGTTGCGGCACCGTTGACGGCGTAAAAGGTCCTCGCCGCAGCGGCATCTTGGAGGAAAGAGAAGTCGAAGCGATACTGAACTACATAAAGAAAAAAGCCAAGAATCGTCCACTCGAAGGACTGCCATATAAAGGATCTCTTCCTCGGAGGACGGGTAACGAAAAATCGAACGCGTTTCACTCTGGGGTTAGTGGAGACAGCGTCTGCAGCGCAGCCTCTTCCTGCGACAAGTTCGTTATAAACTTCTTGACCTGTTGGACGGTCATCTTCGACTGATTTTCCGGAAAGCATTCGTCGGTGTTCCAACTGAAAGCGAATTACGCGGAAACCGGTTCTGCTTGGATCTAATATTCCACTGCGAAGTCTCTGCTGTAGTTCTGAAGACTTCCATGGCTTCCAGTAAGATAATTAGAGCTTTTCCAATTTTGAAATCATTTTCCTACAAAAATGTACTTTGAATACTCGAAAGATTTGACGTTGATTAATAACGAGGATTATTATCTACATTCTCAATATGCAGGGTATCTTGTCAAGTAGTGTATCCTAAATGTATCTTATACAGCTCATTTGCATGCCATATTAGAGATCTATTCGTTTTCAAGTCAAAGTTTTAACTATGAATTATAATAAAATAAATATCAAAATAACTTATTGCTGTAACCCATATTAATATATCAATTATTATAAATGTGATTTTAATGTTATATCAAGTTTTTGGTGTTAGTATAGGATAATAGGGATTTACTGTCGTTCTCCTTGCGAAATTTGGAGGAGAAGTTTGTAAACGATAAAGTGACAAACATTTTTTAATGAGACTATATTTATATTTTATAAAATTATTAAGCGCTCTTGAATACTACTTTTTATACTTGTTTTTCACTTTATTTCAAACATATAAAACATTTAAAGTATTTATCCTTATACCTATATAGTGGAACTATAAGTTACCAAAAACACTACTATTTTTATAGAACGTGCTGGCATGTTTTTTGTAATATGTGGGAACAAGTTGTAGGACTTTATCAAATTCCGATTTGACTTGTGATTTGTATGGTTGACAAACAGCAGTGTAACTGCGGAAGTCTAATTTACGGGCATTTTCTATATTTAGAAAATTACTGATAAGTTTTGTGATTATATTATATCCTAACTCGAGAGCTTTTTTTTTATATATTATGTTTATATTAAACCTTTGTTATTTTATGCTTAACTGAAGCGTTTGTGGTTGCTTTTGAATTACCAAAGACGCTTACCTAAATACTATATAAAATCATCTTCAAAGACAAAACGAAATTTTCAATAATTAAAATTGTATTTTTATTCCAGATTTTGTTTTGTCTAGAAGAGATTTTTAGTTCAGTAGCATAACTACGTTTTATTGTAATCTGTGATGTGTTTTAGCTTTAGGGTTGTTTTTTTACAGATTTTATTTTAGTAGCGTTAAACGCTAGATAAGGATTGTTGGGCAGGGCCTAAGGAAATGTTAAGTAACTATTGAATTTATATCGTTGTTAAAATTTAAATCAATTTAATGTTTGATATTTATATGTTTGGACATATCTAAGAAAGGAGGACAAAAAATATGTTATTCGTTTATTTTATCAGAATCGTGTAGGCCATTGTGGATGTTTAGGCCAGTTTCATCGAATATTATGTGCGTTTTAAATATTGTATGCCATATTTGAAGTCTATATGTTCTTATATACTTGACTGTAATAAAATAAAAGAAGCATCAAATGATTTTTATTCGAAATATGCCTCAGACCAGGAATTAGTAAATAGACCGATCGAAATAACTCATTTAGAGGGGGAAAAAAAGAAAATTGTTACCAGGACTTTTATAAGTGGAAATGGTAAAGGGACTTATAATAAACAAAAAAAAATAATAATAAATGCGCGAGCAGGGGTGGCAGAGGCGCTGAAAAGTTGTGAAAAATTGTATCATTGGGATTTTAGGCGAAAATTGACATCAAACAAAAAAGTAGCTCAAAAGTTATGGATCATGCAAAAATCTACAACTTTTGTAGAAGTCACTTTTTAAGATAACCTCAAAATTTCCGAGAAATAGCGAAAAACAGGTATTTTTTCTTATTTTTCGATTTTTATTTCTCATTTGCCTAAAAATAATTTAATTTTGACATAACTTGGCGAAAGTATACCTTTCTGTGTCTTAAATAACCGCATATTTTTTTAGATAAAAAAATCAAGAAGTTTCCGAGATATTAATTTTTCCGGTCTGAAACACTTTTTTTTCAAAGAAAAATTCTACTTAGAAAAATCATCGTTCAAAGTTCTACCGTTGATCATTTTTTTTCGTTTTGAGATACACTTTTTGGTGAAATAAAAAAATCTGTAATTACAGTTCAAAAACATGCTCAAAAATGCAAAAAAAAAACATAAAAATGACTTACAACAATGATTCTTTCAGTAATTGTTGATAATTTGTTTAAATTCAAAAACTGATTACACCATTCAATTCTACGGAAAAAATACAAGAAAACTGTGTCTCATTGTTCGACCCAAAACTTTATTTTTGTAGAGTATTGTTATAAACATAAGTCGAATAGTAAATAAATAAAATAAGTAATAATTTTTTTTCCGTAAGGTTTAGTGTACCAATTTTTTAAAAAATTTTGATAAATTCATAGATATTACAAAACTAGAAAATCTGCCAAAATTGAGTAAAACTTGCATTAATTTATCATCCTAATCGTTGGATTAGTTAACCAAATCTTTAGCAGTTCTGGAATTACTAAAGTCCTTTTACTGTGACTTAAACCTTTTTGCAGTGACTTTATTTAAGCCTTCTATAGTGCCATAAAGCTACTGTAATCTACAATCCTTCCTTTTATACACATGCTGCCCTCTATGGGTCAAACTTGAAAACAATACTCGTTGACACATATTTGTACTGACTTCTCATTGACGTACGTAGATAAAATAAAAAATAGATGTTATATTTCTAATGAATAACAAGGATAGTAGAAATTTTAATGTCAGGTTATTAGCAGATAACTTGTAACATGTATTTTAGACCTTAGAATCAGAGAGAGACATACATTGCTGCTGAATCTAGTTTTCTCCACTATTCTGGCTACTGGTTAGTAACTATTACAATAGATGGCAGCATATACATCGTTTTTATGGGTTTATTATAGTCCTAGCAGGTACGCTTTAATATAGTCACTCGAGAATTTCAAAATTGTTCGACGAATTAATTTTAAAAATTTATTGTTATAGTATTTTGAACAAAAGGTACCTGTAGGTATATTTCTTAAACAATATACGTTTCATAACAAATATTTTACAATGCCTATACAATTTTTTAAGTTTTTTTTGACGAATCACGTCATGTCTGCTTTTGTTCGAACATGGCGTACTTGTTTAATCTGTATAGTTCTTCTATTCGTAAAATTTTCTAAGACCAAAACTGCCTTAATAATAATAATAATAATAATAATAATATTTTACGTGACTATAACAACTCCATACGAGTTGCGTTGTTAATAATAAAACATATTAAAACTTCCAAATAGGCTGTATATCTTTACAAAGGCGATTCAACAAACAGTTATGAGTTCCACTAATTACAAATTCGAATTAATTATTATCTCGACAACGTGTTAATTATGGCCAAACAACCAGAATTTATGAAGTCTTCAAAGAGTTCAAGTAAACACTAAAAGCGTACAAATGTGAAATACTCGAGTAGCAACAGATGTGTGACCTCTATGTAAAGTTTACTTTTACGAAAGTAATAAAAGTAACGTAAATAAATATTTCTTTGGTAAGTACGCTGGCCTGTACAGTTTGTTTTAAACGTAAACTAAACGTCAAGCATACGATGTACCTAGGACCCTTTTCTAGGTCTAGGATTTCAATAAATAAGGGCTTCTTCTAAAGAACTACTAATAAAATTTATATTTATGATATGGGAATAAAAATATTATTTTCCTACGCAATGGTAGATGACGCTAATTAGAAAACTTTTGTAATTGTCTCCGTTTACTACAAAAATTGAATGAAACGACACGAGATTTTTTTCATGGCTTCATAGACCATTTATTAAGAAAAACAAATACACAAACCGGAACTCGATATTTTTTTTCGTTTTCAAGTTATTAGGGACAAAAATAGTGAAGTTGTGCTAGAACATCCTCCTTTATACATATAGTTCTCTAAATAACATTGACATAGTCCAAACCAAAATTAAATTGTAAAACTATACTAAGCTAGTCTTTAAAAAACTACTTGCTACATTTTGGATTTTTTTGATAACTGCAATGTTTTATTTTTTTATTAACTCCAAATAACGAGCGTTCAAATAAAAACGTGGTCAAGTTGGTTCTGAAAATTTGGACGTAGGGCGTAGCTTATAGCAAATGAACTTAAACGTCATCTGTNATTGTATCATTGGGATTTTAGGCGAAAATTGACATCAAACAAAAAAGTAGCTCAAAAGTTATGGATCATGCAAAAATCTACAACTTTTGTAGAAGTCACTTTTTAAGATAACCTCAAAATTTCCGAGAAATAGCGAAAAACAGGTATTTTTTCTTATTTTTCGATTTTTATTTCTCATTTGCCTAAAAATAATTTAATTTTGACATAACTTGGCGAAAGTATACCTTTCTGTGTCTTAAATAACCGCATATTTTTTTAGATAAAAAAATCAAGAAGTTTCCGAGATATTAATTTTTCCGGTCTGAAACACTTTTTTTTCAAAGAAAAATTCTACTTAGAAAAATCATCGTTCAAAGTTCTACCGTTGATCATTTTTTTTCGTTTTGAGATACACTTTTTGGTGAAATAAAAAAATCTGTAATTACAGTTCAAAAACATGCTCAAAAATGCAAAAAAAAAACATAAAAATGACTTACAACAATGATTCTTTCAGTAATTGTTGATAATTTGTTTAAATTCAAAAACTGATTACACCATTCAATTCTACGGAAAAAATACAAGAAAACTGTGTCTCATTGTTCGACCCAAAACTTTATTTTTGTAGAGTATTGTTATAAACATAAGTCGAATAGTAAATAAATAAAATAAGTAATAATTTTTTTTCCGTAAGGTTTAGTGTACCAATTTTTTAAAAAATTTTGATAAATTCATAGATATTACAAAACTAGAAAATCTGCCAAAATTGAGTAAAACTTGCATTAATTTATCATCCTAATCGTTGGATTAGTTAACCAAATCTTTAGCAGTTCTGGAATTACTAAAGTCCTTTTACTGTGACTTAAACCTTTTTGCAGTGACTTTATTTAAGCCTTCTATAGTGCCATAAAGCTACTGTAATCTACAATCCTTCCTTTTATACACATGCTGCCCTCTATGGGTCAAACTTGAAAACAATACTCGTTGACACATATTTGTACTGACTTCTCATTGACGTACGTAGATAAAATAAAAAATAGATGTTATATTTCTAATGAATAACAAGGATAGTAGAAATTTTAATGTCAGGTTATTAGCAGATAACTTGTAACATGTATTTTAGACCTTAGAATCAGAGAGAGACATACATTGCTGCTGAATCTAGTTTTCTCCACTATTCTGGCTACTGGTTAGTAACTATTACAATAGATGGCAGCATATACATCGTTTTTATGGGTTTATTATAGTCCTAGCAGGTACGCTTTAATATAGTCACTCGAGAATTTCAAAATTGTTCGACGAATTAATTTTAAAAATTTATTGTTATAGTATTTTGAACAAAAGGTACCTGTAGGTATATTTCTTAAACAATATACGTTTCATAACAAATATTTTACAATGCCTATACAATTTTTTAAGTTTTTTTTGACGAATCACGTCATGTCTGCTTTTGTTCGAACATGGCGTACTTGTTTAATCTGTATAGTTCTTCTATTCGTAAAATTTTCTAAGACCAAAACTGCCTTAATAATAATAATAATATTTTACGTGACTATAACAACTCCATACGAGTTGCGTTGTTAATAATAAAACATATTAAAACTTCCAAATAGGCTGTATATCTTTACAAAGGCGATTCAACAAACAGTTATGAGTTCCACTAATTACAAATTCGAATTAATTATTATCTCGACAACGTGTTAATTAGGGCCAAACAACCAGAATTTATGAAGTCTTCAAAGAGTTCAAGTAAACACTAAAAGCGTACAAATGTGAAATACTCGAGTAGCAACAGATGTGTGACCTCTATGTAAAGTTTACTTTTACGAAAGTAATAAAAGTAACGTAAATAAATATTTCTTTGGTAAGTACGCTGGCCTGTACAGTTTGTTTTAAACGTAAACCAAACGTCAAGCATACGATGTACCTAGGACCCTTTTCTAGGTCTAGGATTTCAATAAATAAGGGCTCGTTCTAAAGAACTATTAATAAAATTTATATTTATGATATGGGAATAAAAATATTATTTTCCTACGCAAAGGTAGATGACGCTAATTAGAAAACTTTTGTAATTGTCTCCGTTTACTACAAAAATTGAATGAAACGACACGAGATTTTTTTCATGGCTTGATAGACCATTTATTAAGAAAAACAAATACACAAACCGGAACTAGATATTTTTTTTTCGTTTTCAAGTTATTAGGTACAAAAATAGTGAAGTTATGCTAGAACATCCTTCTTTATACATATAGCTCTCTAAATAACATTGACATAGTCCAAACCAAAATTAAATTGTAAAACTACTAAGCTAGTCTTTAAAAAACTACTTGCTACATTTTGAATTTTTTTGATAACTG